ATAGGACTGCAAGCAGATATACAAGAAGAAGAAGAAGAATGAATTCAAGCAAGACTGTCAGTCTATAAAAATGAATTTTAATATGATTCTTGATTTAAAGAATGTGGAAAAAAGTCATTGTCCCTCAGAAACCTCACTTATCTTAAAAGGAAGTTTTCGCCTCTTGTTACCCTTTAAGAAGCTACGTTGACTGTAATATTGATGACTCTGCTATTCTGTGTTACTTAAATACTGTTCTCAGTATCAGTACAACTTAAATGACCTGAACAAAATAGGCTCTTGTTTTTAAGGCCTTTTTTGGCATTGAGGTAATATATTATTTTCAATCAGAAGTAGTCCTGAAAAAAAGGACCTAATTAGAGGAATCCCATAGGTTAGAGGTATAAAAGACAAGGGAGCCCAGGAAAGCTGGTCAATATTCAGCATTCCTCCCAACTCAAGACCATTGTATCCCCGTGAGCAAGAAATCAAACAAAGCTGGTAGGAGGCTTACAGGGATGAGCAGAGAGCTTCTAACAAATGTCAAATGGAAGAAATTTATGGAATGTGGAAAAAGATAGAGGCTGTATGGGAAGTCTATAAGAATATTGTGGGCATCCTGGTGATAAATGATACAGAGAAGGCAGAGTAACTGAATTCCTTCTTCACCTCAAACTCTACTGCTGAGGCCATCCTTCAGGAATCCCAGATGCTGGCTGCAAGAGAGGAAGGCTGGAGAAAAGACGACTTGGCCTTGGCCACTGAGAGTTTGGTTAGAGATCCTTTGGCGAGGCAAACAAAACTGTAAATCCATGGGCCCTGATGGGATGCACACACGGGTGCTGAGGGAGCTGGGTTTCTCTCTGCCCAGCCCTGTTGTTGCTAAGCCCATTCTGCATCTTCTTTGAAAAATAGTGGAGAAGGGGTGATGACTGGAGGAAAACCAGTGTCACTCCCATCTTCAAAAAGGGCAACAAGGAAGACCTGGGAAACTACTGGACAGTCAGCCTCACCATCATCCCTGGAAATGTGATCACTCTGGAGGCCAATGATCTCCAGAAGTCCCTTTCAACCCTAATGATTCTGTGATTAAGAATCTGGTATCTGAAGTATTGCATATAATCAGAGTGAGCAAAAGAATATAATTTTATGCATACAGAAGAAATTTTATGGTAAGTCTATACATATTTTTTTTGTTTTAATAAAAAAAATCTTACGTGCATCTTCCTTGGATTATATCACAAACATTTGTTGATGGTGTCAAATTAATGAATAATCTCTCTCTATCAAATTATTCATAACAATCTAGGAAGATTCATCTTCCTGAAGTCTGAATTGTGTCTTTGCCCAGACTCCGTTGTTTCTGTCCCATCGCTTTTCCCAGTGTCTTTCTCCCTGTCCCATGCCTTAGCAATCTGTAGCAATTAATCACACACCCAAGAAAACTCCTCAGGCTGGGTATGCAGTTGTACACACTATCAATTAGGTATTACATAGGTGCCAGTACCATTCAGAGACAGCCACCCATTGTGTCCTGGGTGTGTACCTACAGTCAGGAGAACATGGGCCAATACATGTGAAAGGATGCTCATCCTAGCCCCACTGAAGACATTAAAAAAAAATATTCTAAAGTGTGACCACCTTCATTTTGGCTGCAGTATGAAACTCTATACTTTTCTGTGTTCTGTTGCCAGAACACAGAAAAGAAAGAGAAATGTGAACAGGAGAACATAAATGAGCAAAGAAGAAGCAGTGCAATAGCGGACTTGAAACAGAATTGAGTTCATGATGTAGAGTTACTAAGGTTGGAGGTACTAAACTAAACAAATCTATTGCCTGTTCTTTCATCTCATACCTTGTTAAAAGGTTTCATAAATAAAAATTTCCCATGAGGCCTGTATGTGATCTGTTTCCCTGAAACTCAGTAAAACAAAGACCACAGATGGCCTTCTTTGATAAGTACAATTATTGGAGAATAAACTGCATAGTGATAATTCATTAGTTCTGCGGTCTTCATATGGGATCTGTGAAAAATATATCTGGATACAAGTTTGTCTACATAGGATGTGTTTTGAAAATAATAAGATATTGGACTTTATATATGAAATCCATTTTAATGATTTTATCTTCAATCATGGTATGATGAGACTATTTAGCTCAACAGAAGGCAAGTAATTCAAGCAGTGCCCAAGAATTATTTTTAGGCATCAACTGGCAATGTAGATAATGTCCGTTAATGACTGAATAAACTCCAGCTTTGAAACAAATGAATAATACCACTTTGCATTTGCATAGCACTCATCATCTATAGACCTGACAGTTTTAAAAGGATGGGCAAACATTCACAGTGACTATTTCTAGTGAAAACAGAATGTCCTGAATAAATTGCTACTATGAAGGCAAACCAAAGCCTTCTTGAAAGACACTGCTGCATATAGCTGTAAGATTTAACAACTACAATACAGTGAAAATGTTATGCTTATATTAAAGGGTAATCAGGCAAGAAAACAAGTTTTTAGAAATGAAACAGCATTGGTTTTTTTGTAGAATGCTGAGATTAGGTCTATTTGGAACATAATGTCTATGTGCTCAGTCCAATCCCTGTAGTAAATTATTAGTCTATGCAGTTAATGTCACCACAAAGAGACTTGCAAATGCTTGCTATTTTTAACGTCAGAATGACTATCTGAACTTGCTGTCTGAGCTAGGCTGGGATGCCTTCCAGTGATGCAGACAGGCTCTTGCCTAAGCAGAGGGGCTGAGTAGAGACCTGCTACCTCTACACACCTACATAGGCAGCTGAATTCAAAATAGATTATGGCAGTATTTAGATATTGAACAAACCATGCCCAGATGTACCACATCCCATATCTTACCAACTTTGCTTATTGGAAAGCAGCCATAGCGTACTACTGTAGGCATGAAGGAACAGCATTAGCAGAACCAGAGCTGGCTGGCATGCTGCTTTTGCATCTCATCAGATCTTAGATAAAACTATCCAAACCCCAGGACTAGAACTGGCTTGACCTAAAAGTGAAGAGTTCTTTTATCAGGCTGTGGGTTGTGGAGCAGTTTGCCAAGTGACCTGCTGACATCGCTTTGCTACAGTCTTCTTCCCTATCCTTCTGTAAATAATAATTTGTGCATTTACATCTGGAGGCCTCAAAGGCTTTTCTTATTGCTCTATGTTACAGGACAGAATGGTACGTATCAGGAGTGGATTCTCATCTTGAAGAGGTTTTTTCATTGCCATTGCACTGCAATGTAACACTAGCAGCAAAACATCTCTACATATGTGTCAATGCGAAGATTTTTATATGTTCATTGTTAACATTTACACTGCAGCAATAACCCAAGTCAGTTTAGTTTACACAGTCTGGGAAACAAAATCATTCCAGTTCTACAATTTACTTATTTTTTATCTGCTCATTAGCAGAGACATCCTTAGATGACCTGCAAATATATATCTTGCTTCAAACAGCCAAATTTCATAATACATTGGCAAATGTGTCAGAGTCGCTGCGTCAGTTATAATACAATATAATGCAATATAATACAATATAATATAATATAATGCAATACAATGCAATATAATACATAGGTCTGAATATCAGCCAAGTCTTGGGACTATTAGTTGCTTCAGCAACTAATACAAAGAAGAAAAGAAGGAAAACTCAGAATTTCATGTTCTTGTCATTGCTGGATAGTTTCGAGTAACTGTTACCAGTACACACCAGATACAAGGTATTTTAGTTACAAAAGTCGACTGCTTCACTTCTAATTGTTGGGAACACTGGTACGATATGAGGATTCAAACGGAAGTTCTAGGCAATAAATCAATTCCTGGAAATAGAAGTCAAGTAACATCATACATCGAGTACTGACAAATTAATTTTTCAAAAATAATACAAACTTTAGAGTCTATTGATAGACTTTCATAAAGACAGGAGTGTGTGGACATTAGAGCACCTAAATGGCAAGTTATCTGAAGCAGAATTTCGTTTTTGTATTTCAATATTAGGATCATTGTTTGCAATGTTTATTGAAAATAACTTTTCCTGCTCCCAATACTTTTCTTTATATGGTGTTCTAGCAGATTATTTATTTTTACATGTTGCATAACATGGTAATTTTGCAAAAGATGCCTCTGTTTTAAGGTCTAATAGTCTTTAGGTATTTCTGTTGAGACTTGGATAGCTAGATCCATAAATATATCTCTTTTAACATGCTTTATTTGAATGTTCATTTATCATAATCACTTTATAGGATGCCTGGAGTGTCTTTGGTCCCTGAACAGGATGTAGCACTGTTAGATAATCTTTGATAACCCAGGAAGCAGAGTTTCTTCACCTTGAGACCTTCTGCTCTGTGCTGGTGACATGTCTGCAATCCAGCAGCTGCAAACCTGCTGAGAGGAAGATGAAGCGAGGGCTAGTGCTTCCTGACAGATTCCTCTGACTGTCTGAGCAGCAGTCTGTCTGTCTGCAGACCCTGGATCATATCCTAAATCTGAAAGACCAAAGTTAGACTTAACTTTTGAAAATATAGTCTCCAGGTTGAGCTTAATGTTTCAGCAAACTTTAATCAGCTTGCCTTTTCCTATTGTAATGAAATAACACTCCCTGTTTTGACAGTCTCTGGCTGTATGGAATGGAAAGTCAAAATAAACAATGAAGACCACATTGAACATTCTAATACACAACCTCAAATGTTTACTTAATTCCTTAGCCTAAACTAGACACCTAATCCAAACATTTCCTCCTGTTGACTCCTCCTGTCCTCCACAACATCCTGGGTTACTAGATTTTAGATAGGAACTTCTAATACACATAACTCAGATTGAAAGCAGAGTTTCATTAGCACAAACCTCCCTATCATAATTGTAATCTACAGTAAATGAATGTAATTAGTCTCTCCTGAGCCCTCCTCTGCCATAATCTGACTCTAGGTTCTTGTATAAAGCTAGCATACTACATTCACTGCAATAGCAGCAGGTCTACAGGGTTGCCCTTTCCATCATCATGTCACTGCTTCTCCTTCAGATGTTAGTGCTCTCATGTCTTGGAGCCACAGGGCTACAGAGAACTTCACAGCAAAGGAAAAGCAGAAGGCCATTTCAGCACTTTCTCTACACGGACAAAAAACTGTTTGAAAGTCAAAGTTCTCCTGAGCTGGTAAGTGAGAACCCAGTAGGAGTTGAAGGGACCCTGAAAGTACCAAGCTTTTTTGTATCAATTCCACAGACAGCATCTGGAAGTGAGAAGAAAGAGGAGAAAAAAATGTCTAGATTCATACTTCCCAATGCAGGACTCCATGCAGACCAAAACCTGAGATCATGGGCTGCACCCCGAGAGATCTCTCCTGTGGAAAACTTCGCTCCACTCCATCATTCCAGCAAGAGTGAATCTGAATCTCCCTACAGAAAAGATGCCAAGAAATTCTGGGACCATTTTATGTTAAAGAAAAATTCAGCATCTGAAGAGGTTGTCCTGCCAATCAAGACCAATGAAATGCAGCAAGAAAACTGCAGAACCCTGCCTTTTGCCCAGGTAAGAACAAGATCAACAAACATGCCTTTCCCCTGTCTCTTGTAATCAGCAGCTAAAGGGATATGGGTTGTTTAAGTGGCTCAGTCAAAGGGCTTCAGAACACTTGCTCATAAGTGGCTGAAAGATGTTGGTTAAAAAGTTTTAGTCTGATGAGTCAAACTGCTAAATTGCAGCACTGGAAAGCTGCAGACTCAATTTTTATTATTTATTTATTTTAGTTATTTATTATTTTTATGCACAGATATTCAGACATAGTCTAAGCAGGCAGGGAAATTATGAGTAATTATCCATTCAATAAATATATATCTCAGCTGTCTGCAGATCTGAATTATGACCCCTCTCTCTCTCTATATATATATGTATGTATAGATATAGATATGTATGTGTATACACACACACAGACACACATATTTGTGTGTGTGTGCATATACAGACTCTCAGGACAAGTATTTACTGGAAAAAGATGGCTGTTTTCTTACAGCTAAGCAAGGATTGTTTTCTGCTGTATTAATTAGAAAATGGATGCTTTCGTCTAATTCTGTGCTAAGAATTTGGAGAATTGGTAGATTATTCCATGCATAGATGAAGCCATTCTGTCATATTGTAGCATCAAGACAAGCAAATAGCATAGGTAAAAGTGCTGTATGCCTTGTAAATCACCATCTACTCTCAGTGTTTCTGTAATCACGATCTCTCAAGGACCATGTCTTTTCACATCCAGAACTAAATTAATTTCATACAGACATACGTACATACAGATGTTGCCTAGAAACCTGTACTCTTTGTTCTGAGAAGAAAAAAATGAAGTGGTTTTGTTTTTTTCCTTTTTTTTTTTTCATTCATGCCTTCTAGCAAAGTCCATGGACCATTTCTGCATCAGAAACATTAAACTGCTTTCTGTTTCAGGGTGTTACTCATAACGGCTGTGAAAAGGTGACAGTGCAGAATAATCTGTGTTTTGGAAAATGTAGCTCGTTTCATGTTCCTGGTTCAGAAGATCATCTTTATACCTTTTGTTCTCATTGCTTGCCCAGCAAGTTCTCCATGAAGCGCCTGGATCTCAACTGCACTGATTCTGTTCCAGTGGTCAAAGAAATCATGATTGTAGAAGAGTGTAAATGTGCAACTCGGAAGATTAAAGACCCTGTGATTGGATCTCTACTGTCAGACTTGTATGAAAATGTACGCGAGCACAACTAACCTGTGCAAAGTACTGCTTAACTTGTTCATAAGAATTTTCCAATGAAAAAATTCGAACAAGTTGTCACCACTCTAGTGAAAAAATCACTAAAAAGGTAGACCTGATCTCTGTTTCAACAATAACTTTACCTAAAGTGTAACAAATGTTTCCTTGCAGCTGTTAAGAAGAGGTGAAATTACTGGGCTTATGTAAAAAGATCTTATTTTAACAAGGGAAAACTAAAAATTTTCCATCCTTCCTATCACTGTTTCTAGGATGCTAGTAAACAAAGGTGGAACTAACATGATTAATCAGTGCAAACCTGAATGGTGACTTGCCTTTGCTTGTGGGGAGTGCCAATATAGCTCTATTGGAAACAAAGATGAGATTTTAGGCTGTTCCCTACAAATATAGGTCTATTTTGACTTCAAGATAATGGCACTAGAGTGTAAAACATGAATGAACATCAGGTACATAGAAAGCTGTGACTAGTTCATGTCACACTCATTTGATCCTAGTTGGAGTTCAGTTCTCATTGAAAACCAACATACTATACAATTTACACCAGTAGATGATGGCAAAGGGTATTTTGCCATAGAAATCACTCACTCTCTTTTCGACATTCACTCTGTATCTTTATTTTTACTCAGTGTTCAACTGTAGAAGGAGAAAAAAAATTAAAAATGCCATACTCTTACAGAAAATATCACAGATGTTGTTATTATTTAAATTTACTGTGGAAAGATGATGCACATTTTCCAGTCCAATGATTTTTAACATTGTCAGTGAATCTAAGAGAAAAGTTTAAATAATGTTCTCAATGCTTAAACTAAAGCAGAAAAGGCATTTGTGTAACAGAAAATCTGAGAAGGACTTTATCATCATAGCAACACCTTAACAACTTTACAGGAACAGGCTTTGAGAGAGCCCTGCTAGGAAGCGTTGGAGTCTACTGCTAGGTAACACAGCACCAGTGACTATTAGCTGAACTGCTGGCTTTCCTGCCCTCTCCAGCTGCTTCTCTGTGGATTTATCTTGCAGACCTGGCACTCCAGACAGCTTCCAGCAACAGAGTTCAGCATATTTCTGCACCAGTTTTGTCAGTCCTCTGGGAATCTGCTCTCACACCTGGGCCACTGTTGTTAAACTGTCAAAGCTCCTTTTTAGGGTATTGGAAATCACTATTGACTTAGCTTATTCAAGGTCAAATTCAAGGGCTGGGTAAATGGTTCCTTTTATTTGAACTGCAGTGGGATTAGAAGCATCTCAATATTCCTTCAGAAAATATGTGCAGCACGGCTCATGTTGAATATTTACTAAAAATTGCATCTGAATTATGTTCTGATACTGGGTGTGAAGCTGTTTGCTTCTGCAGGTCACTGGCAGTGAATGAACTGAAGATTATTATATAGTTACCTTACATTACATATAAACCTGTTTTAAATAATAAAAATTGCATACTAAAACTCAAGAAAGTCTTCTCTCTATTCATTTACATGAAGGACTGATGTAAAAACTATACAGGGCTGTTTATATGCTATGGCACGAAATATGATGCCATTCTAAATAGCTAGCTATCAAGGTCTTGTAATCCCTGTATTGTGTGTGAAAATTGGTGCTCATTTTTAATCAAGCCTAAGGGAGAAAAGCACACACAGCATTAAAGTTCTCAATTTTTTTCTCTTTATTATTTTTTTTAATCTGAAAATGCCAAGTGTTCTGAGATGTTTTACTCTGAATATTTTACACATTTTAAAGCTGTCTGAGTATATAAGAATGCTAATCCATGTTTTTGTTTTGGTTTTTGTTATCTGAAATGCAAATATGTTTTTAGGTTTGATGCTTGCAGGCAACCACTGGAAGGTAGGATCCACATACAGCCCCAGTAAGATCACACATCAATTAAAAAGAAAAAAATCTTCCAATCCTGTAATTTTGACAAAACTGATGGATATACTATGAGTTTATCATGAGGATGTCTGAACCAAAGTTGCAGACTGCAAACTATACAGCCTAATCTTTAAAGCTTCTTCCCTGTGCTGAAGCACTACTGCAGTCAAAGAAAGCCATTCATGTAAAGAGTTTGCAGGATGAGACTCAGTGTGAATTTGCACAGCTTAAAAGTAGGTGACAAGAGGTAATGACAGCTATAGTAATTGCTAATTAGATTAGTGCTGTAGGTTTTTTGGATGTATGTTTAATTAACCCAGCAATGACTGGTTGCATGTAATTAGCACAGTATTTTGCAAAATCAATCAATGTGTTAATTGGATCAGATTTCTCAGCATTTAAAAAATCCATATTAGGAATATATTTTATCCAGGGCCTAACAGGATTTTGTTTCTGGGCATAATGATCGCCTCTCAAACAGAATGGTGTGGATCAGAAAGGTGAGGGTTGTGATCCCTACATGGATGCTTTCAGTAGTAACATTATAGCAACAAACCCTAGTTGTGTCCACTCAGAGCTTGCATGCGTTTACTTTTTACTTTTGTCAGCTGTGCTGAGAATCTAAGTGCTGTTAATGCCATTTACTTTAGAGCACTCCTTGTGCAAACCCTACCTTACAGAACAAGCCTATAGTTGCAGAACTCTGAAAATTCTAATCAATTCCAAGCACAGTTTCTATACTTCTGCCCTTTTACTTGTCCTACTGTCTCTTTTTCAAATGGGTGTGCTTTGTGTAGAAAAGAACTGAAGTGCTGGTTTTTTCCTACTGCTTTAGCAAAATAAATCTTCAGTCCAGGCTATTCTTTTAAGTGTGGATTTAATGCAACGAGCTTTAATGCCTGCAAATACATCAAACACCAGGGTTACATCAAACTCCTATTGAACTCTGCACGAGCATATATTCCAGGGAAACATCTCTGAAGCTGCACTTCATGCTGTGCTTGGTACTTTGTTCACCATCTATGAAACATTCACAACTAATCCCATTGCTCTCAGCTGACTAACTTTTACTGGCAGGTGGTGAAATCTCTTGCAGTGCTTTCTCCTAAATGTACTCACTCACTCCTTGCTGCAAGAGCAAAACAAGACTCTTTACTTAGACAGACACTCTCTGCCAGCTGCATAACCATGTCTAGAATCATAACATGCTGAGTTGGAAGGGACCTCCAAGGATCATTGAGTCCCATTCCTGACCCTGCACATGCCAACACCAAGAGTCACACCATGTGCCTGTTGTCCAGACCCTTCTTGAACTGTCAAGCTGGTGCTCTGACCACTGCCCTGGGGAGCTGTTCCAGTGCCCAACCACCCTCTGGGGGAACAACCTTTTCCAAATATCTAACCTGAAACTCCCCTCACACAGCTTCAGGCCATTCTCTTGTGTCCCGTCAGTGGTCACTACAGAGATGACTGTCTACCCCTCCCCTTTCCTTCACAAGGACGCTGTCATATCCAAAATGAGGTGTCCTGTTAGTCTCCTCAGTCAGGTTGAACAGACAAGTGACCTCAGCTGCTTCTCGTAAGGGTTGCTTCCCCTCAAGGCCCTTCACCATCCTCATTGGCTTCCTTGTATGCTAATAATATAGTATCTTTCTTATACTGTGACACCCAGGCCAGCCCCCAGCACTGGAGGTGAGGCTGCCCCAGCTCAGAGCACAGCAGGACAATCCCCTCCCTTGCCTGGCTGTGATGCTGTGCCTGATGCCCCCCAGGACAGGGTTGGCCCTCCTGGCTCCAGGGCACTGCTGGCTCAGGTTCAGCTTGCCACAGACCAGGAGCCCCAGGTGCCTTTCCATGGCACAGCTTTCCAGCATCCCATTCCCCAGTCTGTCCATACATCCAGGGTTGCCCCATCCCTGGTGCAGAATCCAGCACTTTCTCTTGTTGAACTTCACATGGTTGGTGATTACTATGACCCCTGATTTGTCACGGCCTCTCTGCAGGACCTCCCTGCCTCCCTCCATCAACTCCTCCCTGGGGACTTGCTTATTATCACTTCCAGTCCTGCATCCAAGTCACTTATGAAGATGTTGAAGAGCAGAGGGCCAAGGATGGAGCCCTGTGGAACCCCACTAATGACAGGTCCCCAGTCTGATCTCACCCCATTCACTGTAACCCCTTGTGCCTGACCCATGAGCCACTTGCTCATCCCTCACATGATGTGTGTATCCAGCTGTGGGCTGGACATTTTGTCCAGAAGAATCCTGTGAAAGACAGCATCAAAAGCTTTGCTGAAGCCTAAAAAGATTACACCGTCTCCCCTTGATCAACTGGGTGTGTTACCTTGTCATAAAAGGAAATCAGGTTTGAAAAGCACTGTCTCCTCATGAGGCCATGCTGACTGTGGCCAATGAATGTGTTGTCCTTCAGGTGTTTTTCAATACCTCCCACAAAAACCACCATAACTTTACCAGGCACTGAAGTGAGACTGACAGGACCCTGCAGTTTCTGTCTTCTGTCTTCTGCAAGACAAGTTCTTTGTCTTGCCCTTCTTAAAAACCGCACAATGTTCTCCAGCTAACAGTCAGCTGGGATTGCTTCGGATTCCCAAGACCACTCAAAAATCATTGAGAGAGGCTTTGCAATGATATCAGCCAGCTCTTTGAGGATTCTCAGAGGAATCCCATCCCATAGATTTGTAGAGATCCATCTGGAACAGCAGATCCTGTGCAATGTACCCAGAAGTATGTGCCGTGCCAGAAAGTGCATTTTTAAGGTGTGGAACTGGTGCTACTTCAGGTCCTCCATCAGACAGTTTACCAACAGAAACACGAAACAGTGCTAATGAATTATAAATATTTCACATTTTCTATTGTGCTAAATCTAACTCCTTGAGTATTTGGCATGTAACCACCAACTTCAGCTCACCCGAAATCATTCCCTGACAGCTGTGCACACTCCTTCTGCTCAGGTGAGAAAGAATGGGGATTAAAAGACGCTGTAGATGGAACTATTGCAAGAATATTGATAGAAGGTTAACTATCCTCATTGAGAACAAAATTGTCCTGTTTACAGTGCCTCAGGCTCCATGGCATCAGCAAACTGCATTTTCACTCGAAAATTTAAAAAA